ATATAGGTAGTAGGGATAGTGGTAGTAATGATAGTGGTAGTAGGGATAGTGGTAGTAGGGATAGTGGTAGTAGGGATAGTGGTAGTAATGATAGTGGTAGTAGGGATAGTGGTAGTAGGGATAGTGGTAGTAGGGATAGTGGTAGTAGGGATAGTGGTAGTAGTGATAGTGGTAGTAGGGATAGTGGTAGTAGGGATAGTGGTAGTAGGGATAGTGGTAGTAATGATAGTGGTAGTAATGATAGTGGTAGTAGGGATAGTGGTAGTAGGGATAGTGGTAGTAGGGATAGTGGTAGTAGTGATAGTGGTAGTAGGGATAGTGGTAGTAGGGATAGTGGTAGTAAGGACAGTGCTAGTAGGGATAGTGGTAGTAATGATAGTGGTAGTAGGGATAGGGGTAGTAGGGATAGTGGTAGTAGGGATAGTGGTAGTAGGGATAGTGGTAGTAGGGATAGTGGTAGTATGGATAGTGGTAGTAATGATAGTGGTAGTAGGGATAGTGGTAGTAGGGATAGTGGTAGTAATGATAGTGGTAGTAGGGATAGTGGTAGTAGGGATAGTGGTAGTAATGATAGTGGTAGTAGGGATAGTGGTAGTAATGATAGTGGTAGTAGGGATAGTGGTAGTAGGGATAGTGGTAGTAAGGACAGTGCTAGTAGGGATAGTGGTAGTAATGATAGTGGTAGTAGGGATAGTGGTAGTAGGGATAGTTGTAGTAGGGATAGTGGTAGTAGGGATATAGGTAGTAGGGATAGTGGTAGTAGGGATAGTGGTAGTAGGGATAGTGGTAGTAGGGATAGTGGTAGTAGGGATATAGGTAGTAGGGATATAGGTAGTAGGGATAGTGCTAGTAGGGATAGTGGTAGTAGGGATAGTAGTAGTAAGGATAGTGCTAGTAGAGATAGTGGTAGTAGCGATAGTGGTAGTAAGAAAAGTGGTAGTAATGATAGTGGTAGTAGGGATAGTGGTAGTAGGGATAGTAGTAGTAGGGATAGTGGTAGTATGGATAGTGGTAGTAGGGATAGTAGTAGTAAGGACAGTGCTAGTAGGGATAGTGGTAGTAGGGATAGTAGTAGTAAGGATAGTGATAGTAGGGATAGTGGTAGTAGGGATAGTGGTAGTAGGGATAGTGGTAGTAGGGATAGTAGTAGTAGGGATAGTGGTAGTAGGGATAGTGGTAGTAAGGATAGTGGTAGTAGGGATAGTGGTAGTAGTGATAGTAGCAGTAGGGATAGTGGTAGTATGGATAGTGGTAGTAGGGATAGTAGTAGTAAGGATAGTGCTAGTAGGGATAGTGGTAGTAGGGATAGTGGTAGTAGGGATAGTAGTAGTAGGGATAGTAGTATGGATAGTGCTAGTAGGCATAGCTGTAGTAGGGATAGTGGTAGTATGGATGGTGGTAGTAGGGATAGTGGTAGTAGTGATAGTGGTAGTAGGGATAGTAGTAGTAGGGATAGTAGCAGTAGGGATAGTGGTAGTATGGATAGTGGTAGTAGGGATAGTAGTAGTAAGGATAGTGCTAGTAGGGATAGTGGTAGTAGGGATAGTGGTAGTAGGGATAGTAGTAGTAGGGATAGTAGTATGGATAGTGCTAGTAGGCATAGCTGTAGTAGGGATAGTGGTAGTATGGATGGTGGTAGTAGGGATAGTGGTAGTAGTGATAGTGGTAGTAGTGATAGTAGTAGTAAGGATAGTAGCAGTGGGGATAGATGTAGTAAGCATAGTGGTAATAAAGATACATGTAGTAAGGATAGTGGTAGTAGGGATAGTGGTAGTAGGGATAGTGGTAGTAGTGATAGTGGTAGTGAGGATAGTGCTAGTATGGATAGTGCTAGTAGGGATAGTGATAGCTGGGATAGTGGTAGTAGGGATAGTAGTAGTATAGATAGTTGTAGTAGGGATAGTGGTAGTAGGGATAGTGGTAATAGGGATAGTGGTAGTAGGAATAGTGGTAGTAGGGATAGTGGTATTAGGGATAGTGGTAGTAGGGATAGTGGTAGTAGGGATAGTGGTAGTAGCGATAGTGGTAGTAGCGATAGTAGTAGTAAAGATTGCGGTAGTAAGGATAGTAGTAGTAGTGATATTGGTAGTAAAGATAGTAGTAGTAAGGATAGTGGTAGTAGGGATAGATTTAGTGAGCATAGTGGTAATAAGGATACATGTAGTAAGAATAGTGGTCGTAGGGAAAGTAGTAGTAATGTTAGATGTAGTAAGGATAGTGAAAGTAAGGAGAGTGGTAGTAGGGACAGATGAAGTAATGAGAGTGGTAGTAGTTATAGTGGTAGTAGGGATAATGGTAGTAGGGATAGTGTTAGTAAGGATACTAGTAGTAAGGATAGCGGTAGTAGAGACAGATATATTAAGTATAGTGGTAGTAAGGATAGATGTAGTAAGGATAGTGGTAGTAGGGATAGTGGAAGTAAGAATAGTGGTAGTAGGGATAGATGTAGTAAGGATAGTTGTAGTATGGATAGTGGTAGTAGGGATAGTGGAAGTAAGGATACTGGTAGTAGGGATAGATGTAATTATGATAGTGGTAGTAGGGATAGATGTAATTATGATAATAGTAGTAGGGATAGATGTAATAATGATAATGGTGGGAGGGACAGATGTTATAATGATAGTGGTAGTAACAGTGGTGTAGCGGTGCCACGCTCGCCCGCTAATGCGAAGGTGTTGGGTGACAGGTTGCAGCACCATCTAGAAGAGTTGTGTTAGGGTCAGTTTTCCATTTTTTTTTGGGGGGGGGGGGGGGGGGGGGGGTGGGTGGGGGGAGCGGTTAAAGAGCTAGCTCGCTGAAATGTACATCACACAATATCAACAGCATCGCGAAATACCCCTTTGACCTTGTGCAAATATTACGAGGCTCTGGAACTACCAATCAGAAGTGAGCTAGTATGTATATGGGCGGGACCTGGTGAGACTAGCGTTACGTATTTTAAAAAAAATGTAGGGGCAAACAGTAATTGGAGACTGTGGGAGAAAGGGGGGGGGGGGGGGGGCTTGAACAGAAAATTACAAAAATACTTGTCAGAGAAAGTTTATGACAGTAAATGAAGAAAGTTTATAACAGTAAATGAGTCAGTCTGGCTGACAAAGTCAGTTAAACGATTCTAACAGCTCTTCCAACTGTCATCCACACACACAACTATAACCCACAGAAACACTCCCATTACATGCTAGTTAATCGCACAAGCTCTAACACTACTAACACACGTCAGACAGCCTCAGTCTTCCAACTCCCATTACATCATAATCAATCACTCGAGAAAAAGATGACCTCATTTTCTTCACCGTTAAACCCCGAACCATTTCGGTTACTTCCGCTAGTATCGACTACCGCCTTGCACGGCGATTCATGTGTGTATTTGGTATCCAGATTTCTCGGTTTGAGATGGGTCGATACGAGTCGTGATCCTCTCGCGCGCCGTGACTTCCGGTGTCGAGATAAATCAAGTCCCTGTTTTTATTTATCGCTGGCTGAAGACACTGAGACACGGATGGGAGTCTGTGCAGAAATAAGACTCCAGATAAGACAAGACAGGACAGGACAAATTAGATATGTGTTAGTTTACTCTGCCCTCCTGTTTTTCTCTCGCTCTCTTTGTATCTCTTAGTCTCTGTCTGTCTGTCTGTCTGTCTGTCTGTCTGTCTGTCTGTCTGTCTGTCTGTCTGTCTGTCTGTCTGTCTGTCTGTCTGTCTGTCTGTCTGTCTGTCTGTCTGTCTGTCTGTCTGTCTGTCTGTCTGTCTGTCTGTCTGTTTGTCTCTTTCCTTCTCCATCTCTGCCACACTCACACACAATATTTACAAACACAGACAACAGATCTTCTAATAATGAAGTGGTTGACCTAAGCATGATATTATCATGCAGCTCGTGTCTATTTAACTCCTGCCTGTCCATCCATCCATCGACCCAGTCATTCATCTACTCAACAGCTTATCCATTCATTCACCCAATTATTTATCCATTTATTTCCTAATTCTTCATCCAATCATTCACTCAATTGCTCACTCATTCGCCCTCCTATTCAGAAATTGTTTCCCCAATGTTTTATCCATTCATTTACTCAATTGTTCACTCATTCAACCTACTATTGATTCATTCGTTCCCCCATTTTCATCCATTCATGCACTCAGTTGTTCACTCATTCAACCTACTATTGATTCATTCGTTACCCATTTTCATCCATTCATTCACTCAATCGTTCACTCATTCAACCTACTATTGATTCATTCGTTCCCCCATTTTCATCCATTCATTCACTCAATTGTTCACTCATTCAACCAACTATATTCCTTCGTTCCGACATTTTCATCCATTTATTCACTCAATTGTTCACTTATTCACCCTACTATTGATTCCTTCGTTCCCCCATTTTCATCCATTTATTCACTCAATTGTTCACTAATTCACCCTACTATTGATTCCTTCGTTCCCCCATTTTCATCCATTTATATACTCAATTGTTCACTCATTCACCCTACTATTGATTCCTTCGTTTCCCTATTTTTATCCATTTATTCACTCAATTGTTCACTCATTCACCCTACTATTGATTCCTTCGTTCTCCCCATTTTCATTCATTTATTCACTCAATTGTTCACTCATTCACCCTACTATTTAGCCATTTGTTCCCCAGTTTTGCATCTATTTTTTCACCCAATTGCTCACTCATTCATTACCTTTACCCATCGACCCAATCACACATGCACAACCAAGCTGGCGAGCCATCCACACACCAATTTGTCGACACACCCACACATCCTAAACCCATCCATCAAGCCACGCACACGCCTACAACCACCTGTCGACCAACTTTAACATTCATAATCCAGCTGTCGAGCCGCCCACTTGTGCACAACCCACCAATAGACCCAACCATACACCCACATACTCAACTCCTCATGTACTCATATACCCACACACCCTGGCTTCTGTCTCAACGAATGCAATACCCACGTGGTGGCGGCAGCCATGACAGACGGCTGGCCAATGGTCGCCTACAACGATATGTTGTCTAAATCCTCGTTGGCCATGTCGAAATGTGGCGCCAGGTGCGGCACATCAAACTGTTTGTCTTTAGTCTGTGGATTGGGACTTCTCTGTTTGCTGCTTTCTTCACAGTCGATCTTTCTCTGGATGTTCTTGAGGATCAGTGTGTCCCTCATCTTGAAGGCATGGACGCGCTCGATCAGCAGCCATTGCTTGAGGACATTGATGAACTGCACGTACATGAGGCCGTAGAGGAATGGATTGATGGCGTGGTCTAAGTGAAAGAACCAGGAAGTGATGGTGATGGTTGTCCCGAAGAGGCACCAGCAGCGAGAGTTGATGATGCTGACGACAGCATGAGGCAGCCAGCAGATGAGCAGTGCTGCCAGCATTAGACATAGACAGTTGACAGTTGTCCTGTCCTGCTTCACCAGAAGGTCGTGAACCATGTCCTCATTGTGCAGACGTGGCGCCAAGTTAGCCATTGGGTTTGGTGGCTGGTTCTGGTTAGGTCCCAATGCTGAAGTGCATCCGGACCATTTGCGACCAACGTAACGACATCCTCCTCCGCTGTTGCTCTCAGGCATCGACACTCGTCGCCCGCTCGATGTTCTGCCTTTGAGAATTGGCGAGATGCTGGGTAGAGAACTGTGACGCCTTTCGCCACGGCTGCCGATTGCTAAGTGTTTGTTGATCAGTTTGGGTTCGGAGTTTTTCAGCAAAGACTCCTTCGTTGAATCGTCGTCTCCAGTCGCTGTTATACAGCTCTCCGGGATGTCAGAGGCGGGCTTCTTCAAGGTCATGAAATAAGTGTCCGTGACACTGGTTGACCTTTGAACTTCTACACTCTTTCTCCATTTTAATTTTAGGTACAAAGTTACAACGAAGACAAGCATGGCCAATAGAGGACAAACATAAAACAAAGTCGTGGAGAATATAGACAGCTTGACGTTCAGATTGTATCCTTCCGGACACACTGCTAAAGTTCTCTGATGATTTCCTGCCTGTATATGATATATATTGTTTATCGAAGAATTTTGGTCAGCAATGACGCTGCTGTGCACCATACTGCTTTCATGCGGTTTCAGATTAGTTCCAAAACCGGCTGATTTCAACCAGGGACTAATATCATGAGCTGTGATCTGAATGAAATTGTCCCACCATATTTGTGGCAATGTGAAAATGCAGAAACTTATCAACCACACAAATATAACTGCTGCAATATTTATATATTTCGTTGATCTTTTTCTGTAAGACACCGGGTAATGTATGGCACGCCATTTGTCCACTGTGATGAGAAAGATACTGAGAAACGAAGCGTAAACTAGGGATTGTTTCACGGTCTGGTAAACCTTACAGCTCCAGCCGGTGTCCCAGGTATGGTAGAGATCCTTGGTAAGTTTGTAGATCATCGAGAGACCCACCAGGAAATCAGCCAGGGCCAGGCTGAAGAAGTACAAGTTCTTACACCTCCTCAAACCTTGTCTGCAGACGAACATGCTCAAAATGGCGCCATTGGAGGAGATTGTGATGACACTGATGGTTACCATGGGAACAGCTGCCGCCCAGATGCTGAAGTAGCCTCTGCTGCTTTTGCTGGAATTGATGTCTGTGACGTAGGACTCAGCCATTGGGGTCTATCCACACGTCATCTTGGATCTGCTGACACGTTACATGCGATATGGTTACATGTCATCTGGAATGTACTCACGTGTCAGCTGCAATCATTACTGACATCACATGGCATGTACCATCCAAGACATCCTCTGTTGTACTGTGTGGTGAACCAATACTCATAGCTTCTTATGTTGGTTTTTTCTCAAAGTAAGTTAAGTTTGCATCTACTTTGTGACTTCGTGTCTGATCTGTAATGAGGAAAAGTGTATAGTTATTTTTTTCTTCTTTTATGTCATCTCATCTTAGATTCATTTAAAACATTTTGACATTTCATTTAACATTGTACTTATTAATTAACTATTCACGTGCCATTGAACAATGTATTTATTTCTTGGCCCAGCCTTAAATGAGTACCAGATAAAGTCCTGGGAAGTAAAGGCGGCCGGCGGGATGTTGACCTCATCACCCCCCAAGTGCTGATTGGTCGATACAACATAGGTCCAGCCCGATATGCCCAACATGTCTAAAGATGTGGAAAGGGTCCTCATTCCGGAGATATCCAGACGTCATCCAACATTATCCTCATTCCAGAGATATCCACACGTCATCCAACACTATCCTCATTCCAGAGATATCCAGACGTCATCCAACATTATCCTCATTCCGGAGATATCCAGACGTCATCCAACATTATCCTCATTCCGGAGATATCCAGACGTCATCCAACATTATCCTTATTCCGGAGATATCTAGACGTCATCCAACATTATCCTCATTTCGGAGATATCCACACGTCATCCAACATTATGCTCATTCCAGAGATATCCAGACGTTATCCAACATTATGCTCATTCCAGAGATATCCAGACGTCATACAACATTATACTCATTCTAAAAATATCCAAACGTCATCCAACATTATGCTCATTCTAAAGATATCCACACGTCATCCAACATTATGCCCATTCTAAAGATATCCTGACGTCATCCAACATTGTGCTCATTCTAAAGATATCCACACGCCATCCAACATTATGCTCATTCTAAAGATATCCACACGTCATCCAACAGTATGCTCATTCTAAAGATATCCAGACGTCATCCAACATTATGCTCATTCTAAAGATGTCCAGACGTCATCCAACATTATGCTCATTCTAAAGATATCCAGATGTCGTCAACAAGTTATTTACTTGAGATCTATAATATCTACATGATATTAAATTATTTACTTGGAAGCTATAATATCAACATGACATCAACAAGTTATTTACTCGGGATCTATAGCATTGACATATAGGTACTCTAGTCAGATATAACTGCATGTGAAACACGTTCACCCTACAATTACTACATAAATAATGGTTATACACAAACAATCAGATTATATCAACGGGCGACTCTAGTGATTGAATCACATGACACCAGCCAGTGTAATCCAAGCAGCAGGTGAAAGCAACATTAAATGGCTCCATAGAATATTCAATGCGGCAGGGGTACCACAAACTGCTCCCATTGGCTGGCAACATGCAATAGTTGTACCATTGTGGAAGAACAAGGGAAGCAAGCGAGAATGCTATCAATATCGAGGCATCTCTCTTCTAAGTCATGTTGGAAAAATGGATGCTAAGATAATAAAAACTATGCTGCGACCAGTGATAGAACCACAAGTGACAGAATAACAGATGGGTTTCAGAATTTAATAAAGCAGAATTTAAATATAGTATTAGAGTATACATATATTAAACAGGCATCAGAGTTTAAATATCTTGGAACAACAGTCACTGAAGATGGTAAATTGGACAAAGAAATTAACATCCGATGTAGTAAAGCAGGCCAAGTATTGGGATAGCTAGCGCCCCTCTTACAGCATAAGGCAATCCCAATCAGCACAAAGAAACATCTCATACAAAGTATATTCATTCCCATCCTATGCTACCAGTGCCAGACATGGTCACTTACAACAAAACATTAAAGGAAATTAGTAACCATGGAAATGAGGTGTTTGAGAAAGACTGTAGGAGTGACCATAAGAGATAAGATCAGGAATGAGGTCATCTGAGATAAAGTCGGCACAGAATCAATTCTAAATTACATACAAAGAAAGCAAATCAAATGGTTTGCCCACTTAGAGAGAATGCCTCCTGATGATATAACCATGCAAGGCATATACCCAAAAAGCAGAGGGACCTAGAGCAAGAGGTAGACAAACGCACGAGATGGGAAGATAACCTCAGAGAAACTCTACAGCACCACGATGTGTCTATGGTTGAAGCAGCCAGAAGAGCACCAAGCAGGACCTGATATCTTCCTGAACACCCGAAGCGGTAAAAGAGGACGTCCAGAAGAAAAAACCAACGAGGACATTATCAGTTAATCTGTTTTCAAATGGAGAAATTTATTAATTAATTGTTATTTTTATCCTCCTTCTCCTCCACTATTCACCCAAGCAAAGTGTTGGGGGGATGTAAGGCTCATTTGTGCGTTGACTATTACTTTCATCAATCAGGGAACTAGTTAAGTTCTTATTTCAGTTTACTTTCAATTCTTATTTGAGTTGTTTTTATAACTTCATTGATTTCACGAAGCATTTGATTGTGTGTGGCATTCTGGGCTCTGGCAAATAATGAGACATTTCAACTTCAGAACTTTATAGACACCATTGAAGCACTCTATAAAGATGCAAACAGTGCAGTAATCATTGAAAATGAAATAGGCACATTTTTCTAGACCCGTGTGGGAGTGAGGCAGGGTTGCATACTAGCCGCTGTCCTTGTCAGTTTGTATCTGGAACACGCAATGAGAGAAACAGTGGAAAATCATGAAACGTCTCTAACCATTGGCGGAAGACAACTGTGTGATTTACATTTTGCAGACGACATAGATCTGAAAGCTGGTTCCAAAGCAGAACTCCCAAGAACTTTCTACAAAATGAGAGACAGTCTGTAGCATATATGGCGTGGAAATTAATGCCGAGAAAATTAAGATACTGGTAATTAGTCACAATAATCAAGTACCTAACAACATTCAGATAAAAGTAAAATATCTAGAAGAATTTGAAACCTTTAAATATCTAGGCTCCCACATATGCAACGATGAAAGATGTACCAAAAAGAACAAGACAAGATATGGCAATAGCCGCGATGTCGCAGCTGGATACGATGTGGAGGAACCAAATCAGCATCGCTGTCAAGGTCAATATTTACACATCTCTGATGTTGTCTATTTCCTTGTAAAGATGTGAGAGTTAAACTCGTCCTGTGGAAGTCGAAAGGAGGATTGAGGCTTTTGAATGTAAATGCTACAGACGCATTTTGCGAATTAGTTATTTGGGACACAAAACTAATAATTGTGTCAGAGACAAAATATACAGATTTGCGGGACATCAGGAATGTCTCTTTGCAATGGTGAAACGTCGCAAGCTAGCTTGGTTTGGGCACATGGTGAGACATGATTCTATTGCAAAGAATGAACTTCAAGGAACATAGGGGGATAGTTAATTAAGAGGAGGAAATAGAAGAAACTGGAATGACAACATCAAGAAATGAACAGGACTAAGTTATCATACACTTTTTCATCAAGCAGAAGACAGAGAAAGATGGTGGGTTTTCTGTGCTAGTGCTCCCATCAATACGACCCTAACTGATCAAGCGTTATGTTATGTTATAATTGTTTCAATGGAGTAATTTGATAATTAAATCTGACATCAGTTGTGAATTATTTAGTTAACCATTACATCGATGTGGTAATTAGTTGATGAATCATTAGATCAAGAAGTATTGAGTTAATCACATCACATTAATGAGGGGATCAGTTAGTTAGATCGAAAAACTAGTTGCGTAAGCAAACCTTAGACGCTGATCAAATCTTCACACATTCGCTGCAGCACACATACACGTTTAGTTCAAGACTAATACACTAGGTGCGTTGAGATGTTGAGACACGTGATATGGAAAACTGCTGTACCTGTGTTGAGATGTTGTGAAATGATATGGAAAACTGCTGTACCTGTGTTGAGATGTTGCGAAATGATATGGGAAACTTCTGTAGGTGTGTTGAGATGTTAAGAAATGATATGGGAAACTGCTGTACCTGTGTTGAGATGTTGTGAAATGATATGGGAAACTGCTGTACCTGTGTTGAGATGTTGTGAAATGATATGGGAAACTGCTGTACCTGTGTTGAGATGTTGTGAAATGATATGGGAAACTGCTGTACCTGTGTTGAGATGTTGTGAAATGATATGGGAAACTGCTGTACCTGTGTTGAGATGTTGTGAAATGATATGGGAAACTGCTGTACCTGTGTTGAGATGTTGTGAAATGATATAGGAAACTTCTGTACCTGTGTTGAGATGTTAAGAAATGATATGGGAAACTGCTGTACCTGTGTTGAGATGTTAAGAAATGATATGGGAAACTGCTGTACCTGTGTTGAGATGTTGTGAAATGATATGGGAAACTGCTGTACCTGTGTTGAGATGTTAAGAAATGATATGGGAAACTGCTGTACCTGTGTTGAGATGTTGTGAAATGATATGGGAAACTGCTGTACCTGTGTTGAGATGTTAAGAAATGATATGGGAAACTGCTGTACCTGTGTTGAGATGTTAAGAAATGATATGGGAAACTGCTGTACCTGTGTTGAGATGTTGTGAAATGATATAGGAAACTTCTGTACCTGTGTTGAGATGTTGTGAAATGATATGGGAAACTTCTGTACCTGTGTTGAGATGTTAAGAAATGATATGGGAAACTGCTGTACCTGTGTTGAGATGTTAAGAAATGATATGGGAAACTGCTGTACCTGTGTTGAGATGTTGATTCGTGTTATTATGTGCCCAATTCATTGCAGAAATTATATTTGTTCACATTTGAAATAAATAATCGTCTTGACTTCCCTGGTTGACGTTTTTCTCACTGAGCTTTGTTGACTGTTGGTAAGGGGAACTGTGTTGTCTGCGTATCTGAATTGTGGGATATGTTTGCCTCAGAGAAGATCGAAGCTTTTACAG